GCCAGCCCCACTGGAGCGCATTGTGGACAAAGAAAAACTGTCGAAGCTATTTCTAAGCGGTTCTACTGGCCTGGGATGTCAGTAGATATCATTAAATGGGTGGGTGAAAATAAGAGACCCATTTCATAAAATTACGACAATTAAACTCTGATTTGTTTTAATGTGCAGAATGCATGACACTGTTTTCTTATAAATTCAAAATTTGAAAGGGTTGCTTATTAACTTAATTTTTTGAATTTTCCTCCAATTTAGGTTTCAGAGTGCACAGCTTGTCAGACACATGCAAATACAATAAAAAAACCTTCTGAAATCATTCCAATAAAGGTGAGTCATTTTTACCTGAGACCTCAATAATCTCCAGGAAAAAATTTACATATGATTATGTGTAGTCCAATTGATTACTGCAACACCTTGCAATGTTAATGTTTTCTTTTTTGTCTGGCTTTCTTTGTCCTCCTATTCTCTTGTAAGTGTTTCGCAATGATGTACTATCCTTTGCAGAGTAACCATTTTAGTTCACTTTCACAAAAAAAACCAACAACAACAAATTGTTGATAATTGTATTTAATATTAATTTAATTATGCTGAACCCATTATTTCTGTCACAATTATTTTGCATCTCCTTGTTTTTAAGGTTTCTCAACCGTTTGAACTAGTTGGGATGGATCTGATTGGAAAATTAACAGAAACCAAAAACGGAAATCAATATCTCTGCGTCTTCATTGATTACTTCACCAAATGGCCACAAGCTTACCCGTTGAAGACAAAATCTGCCATTGAAGTGACCACCTGTTTAATCAAATTTGTGTATCAGTTTGAATGTCCAAAACGGATTCTCACTGACCAGGGAAGATAATTTGTCAATTCGGTAAGTACCTCACATGATATTATTCCTGGACGCTGACTTATACCATTTCTATTAATTAAGTTTTTTGCAAAGTCATGGAAACAATTTCCCAATGGTATTGCACTGGAAAAAAAAAATCAGAATTTCATCTAAGATTGTTCTTTTTCATGATGTAAGTTTTTGGTTAATGGCAGGACTTTCCATGTGAAACAAACTCTTGGCGTACAAAAGTAGCACATTCAGTTGAATATACCAGAGTTCTGATAATTCGCACAATGTCATTATGTTTCTCCACTGTTCAGTTTATACAATACTATACAGATCATTACTGTGGGAATGATGACCTCTTTATATTTAATTTATTAACCCCTGTGTATGGTTTCCTTCATATTGAAATGTACTACACTCAAGTTGTTTAATTTGTTTGTGCAGCTAAAAAAAAACATCTGTGAAATGCTACACATTCAAAGAAGCCTGTGTTCACCATACCATCCACAAACAAATGGCTTGGTGGAGCGGATGAACGGCACAATTCAGAGGTAACAATTAATATTTATACCCTCACACTATGAATGTTACAGCTATTAATACAAATGGATAAAGACATATACATTAGAATTTCACAAAAGCATAATCAAACAATCAATCCCTGTGCATGTGGGTACAAACATTTATTGTACCACTGCTTTCCTCAGCAGAAAAGACATAATATTAAACTTAATTTGGGCCTTGAGAGCATGAACTACCAATGCAGCTTTCAGCTCCTGGGCTCAAGGCCATGATTTCAATTGACCTAAAAACATGCATGTTTTTTGTTTATCATTGCCATTATGTAGGCATTGTTTGTATATAAAGATGCTTTGTTTTTATTGTTTATTAGTCCTTTACATTCGTTTTGTTCTCTAAGTTATTTATCTTGAGCGGCAACAACCTGTTTTTGTTGTGTTGGCAACAGTTTAAGGTGGTCAGAACATCATACTGGTGAAAGTTTTTTAAATGAAACGTCCCAAAATTCAAACAAGCCATGACTACACAGGGCTTATATTGTTTATGTAGAATTCTAAAGAATTCTAATGCAAAAAAATTGAAGACTGCATTGTAATGTTTAGTCATCCTGGTAGCAAACTCATAATACAGATCAACATTGTCTTTGTTCCTGGTGCTTCTCCTGTTCTGGTAAAAAAAAAAAAAAAAAAAAACATATGCCCAACCCCGATTAATGATGGTCCTACACCACTTCAATTACTTAAAGGAAATAGACCCTCGAACAATAAATAAATGAGATAAAGAAACCACCCAAAAACTACAATTATTCACCTAAAAATAAAGCGAGTTAATGACCTCAAAATAATGGTTATTGTGGGTAAGAAGGGGGGCTTTGATGAACCCATTCTTTCCATCATTTCAACATCCACAACACACAATATATGTCTTCTTCTTTTTCAAATTTTGTCACTTTTGCTTCTCCATAAAACTAGGTTGTCTTTCATTCAACGTCTTCACTACATGACCAAATAGATCATGCTAATTAATATTTGTGTTTCTTCATGCTGTCAGAGCCCTCTGTAAAGTTGTAGGGGACAATCCGGACACCTGGGATGAGTATATTGACGCCATCATCTTTGGAATTAGAACAAAAAAACAGATGACCACCAAATACTCTCCTTTCTTCATGATGTTTGGCAGAGAGGCTCGTTACCCATCACAAATTCCAGAGCAGTTAATGGTTGGTATAAGTTCTACCAGTTACAAAAACCATCATAATTACAAATAATGCTCTTTATTAAACTCAGTTTTACTTAAGAGCTATCAAGGAATTGACTTTAATTTTATCAATTTAGAAGTTGTTCTGTCTGTAATATGTTCTTTTATAAAATATTACAGTTGTAAGATTTGTTACAGCAAATTTGTTTCGTTGAATAGGTGGACAGCAGTGTGGAAAATCTTGTCGGACAAGAAGAGGTGGCACTTGACATTGAAAAACATGAACAGCTAATGGAAGTCATTCGGGACAATGTCAGCAAAGCACAAGACAAGATGAAGAAAATGATGAAAAGCAGAACAAGCGCTGAAACCCTTAAAGTTGGTGACAGCGTCTTGAGAGCCAACATAAGAAGCCAACAAAGAAAAGGAGGGAAGCTTGAGGCCAACTATCTGGGACCATTCATTGTAATATCAATCCAGGACAAGAGCGCAGACATTAAGGATTCAAATGGTGTCATATTCGAAAAAGTAAATGTAGATCATCTTAAACTGGTCAAAATCCCAACAGCAAGAGTGCCACACTGGGGTTTAAAAAAAAAGAGACAAAGTGCTACTCCCCCTGCTTCTCTGGCCAGTGCTTCTCCACCACATGCATCTTCTCCTGCCCCTGCATCCCCTCCACTGCTTTCATTTGCTGCCACTGCTGCACCTGCACCATCCCCATCTCCTCCACCATCCCCATTTCCTCCACCATCCCCATTTGCTGACACTGCTGCACCATCCCCATCTCCTCCACCATCCCCATTTCCTCCACCATCCCCATTTGCTGACACTGCTGCACCATCCCCATCTCCTCCACCATCCCCATTTGCTGCCACTGCTGCACCATCCCCATCTCCTCCACCATCCCCATTTCCTCCACCATCCCCATTTGCTGCCACTGCTGCACCATCCCCATCTCCTCCACCATCCCCATCTCCTCCACCATCCCCATTTCCTCCACCATCCCCATTTGCTGACACTGCTGCACCATCCCCATCTCCTCCACCATCCCCATTTGCTGCCACTGCTGCACCATCCCCATCTCCTCCACCATCCCCATCTCCTCCACCATCCCCATTTCCTCCACCATCCCCATTTGCTGACACTGCTGCACCATCCCCATCTCCTCCACCATCCCCATTTGCTGCCACTGCTGCACCATCCCCATCTCCTCCACCATCCCCATCTCCTCCACCATCCCCATTTGCTGACACTGCTGCACCATCCCCATCTCCTCCACCATCCCCATTTGCTGCCACTGCTGCACCATCCCCATCTCCTCCACCATCCCCATCTCCTCCACCATCCCCATTTCCTCCACCATCCCCATTTCCTCCACCATCCCCATTTGCTGACACTGCTGCACCATCCCCATCTCCTCCACCATCCCCATTTGCTGCCACTGCTGCACCATCCCCATCTCCTCCACCATCCCCATTTGCTGCCACTGCTGCACCATCCCCATCTCCTCCACCATCCCCATTTGCTGCCACTGCTGCACCATCCCCATCTCCTCCACCATCACCATTTGCTGACACTGCTGCACCTGCACCATCCCCATCTCCTCCACCATCCCCATTTCCTTCACCATCCCCATTTGCTGCCACTGCTGCACCATCCCCATCTCCTCCACCATCCCCATTTGCTGCCACTGCTGCACCATCCCCATCTCCTCCACCATCCCCATTTGCTGCCACTGCTGCACCATCCCCATCTCCTCCACCATCCCCATTTGCTGCCACTGCTGCACCATCCCCATCTCCTCCACCATCCCCATTTGCTGCCACTGCTGCACCATCCCCATCTCCTCCACCATCCCCATTTGCTGCCACTGCTGCACCATCCCCATCTCCTCCACCATCCCCATTTGCTGCCACTGCTGCACCATCCCCATCTCCTCCACCATCCCCATTTGCTGCCACTGCTGCACCATCCCCATCTCCTCCACCATCCCCATTTGCTGACACTGCTGCACCATCCCCATCTCCTCCGCCATCTCCATCTCTTCAACTATCGTCATCTCCTCCACCATCCTCATCTCCTTCACCCCCTGCATCTCCTCCACTACCCTCAGCTGCTGCCACCGCTGCTCCTCCACCATCCCCTTCTCCTCCACCCCGTGCATCTCTTCTACCATGCTCAGCTGCTGCCAACGATTCTCCTTCAAAATCTGAGTCTTTTCCAAAGTACAGCAAAGCAGATGCAGAAAAATGTATGAAGAAAAACTTCTGTCATTCTGGGAATATATTCTTTGTAGTTTGTCTTTAACTTTTTGGTGTAATTTAAATAATAATAGTTATATTTTTGAACAAATGTAAATGAAAATTTACAGCTAATGTTTAAATTTTAGTTTTCTATGTAGATGCATGGGTAACACTTTGTTTTACAGTACACCAAAAAGCATGTAATAACAGGTTAGTCACACTATATTACTAGGTAACAATAAAAACTTTATCTGGTAATTACCCCAAATTAATGTATATAATATCAAAGTAATTGCCTGCATGTTTCATTGCTATGTAACAATGAAGACTTTTGCTGGGTAATTACCATAAGGTTGTAGTTAACATAATATTTCTATTATTGCCCACCACCTACCAATGGCTTGCAAAGTAAGTTTTAACCTATGATCAGGTAAATAAAGCATTATATAACTCAACTGAAGTTACATATAAATAAGATAGGTAAGAAAATTGGCATGCTGTATTCTAGGTATCATTTTCTGTTATATTTCAAGTAATAAACTGCATATAACTGGATAAAAACACATTCATTTATTTTTGTTAGGGAAATGAATGCGTTAGCTGGTAATAACGGATTGACATTTAAGAAGTCTGACTTTTTCTTGTCTGCCTAGAACTTAAAGCACAGCACAAAATTATGCATAAAGTTTATAGTGTAATTTGCTATGCTATTACCATATTATGAAATGGTTAGACAGAATGGTAGTTGTACTGTAAAACGAAGCGTTACTGACATATATCAGGGGAACTAAATCCTTTGCACCTTAACTGATTAGATCTATTGAAGTCACAATGGGAAGTGTAACAGATTAGTTATAAATGTATAACTGTTCATGTATAACAATCTTAATGTGTCACCATTTTTCTGTTATCCAGATGTACTTGAGGCATGGGGTGGAAAAACATGCAACGTGTTACTCTCAAAGATCAGTGCCTATAAGCTCTTTTACTGGGACATAAAGCAACTTGGTCCAGACATGGAGTTGGAAAGCGAGGTATTGCAAAATGGAAAGTTTAATTTCAAACTTAAAAAACATATGTTTTTTGTTATTCTGTGAATGGCTGACTAATGTGCTTTTTTATTTATGAACAGTCAATCAACGCTTATCTTCACCTCCTTATAAATGACTACAATTGTGCAGAAACTACAAAATCAACTTTCATTGACACGTTTGCAATGACATCCATATGGAATGGGAAGATTCCGCGACTCAAGGTTTGTGTAGTAATAGAGAAAATTATGTAAAATCTCATATTCAACTTTTCACAACATGTAAATGATGTGAAGAAAAACTGTTATTGCTAAAGCTGGAACCTTGTCCTCAGAGAATCGTGTAAATGCTTCAACGGTGACAGTGAATTACTTGAATGTGTTGAACACATTATATGATGTCAAAAATATTTGGTTAGAAGCTATCTGGTTCTGTGGAGGACTCAAGAGCAGAGACACAGGGTAGAGATGGTGTCTTGTAGGTGAGAAGAGTATAAAGCACAGAGGAACCGCAAAGGCGGAGAATATATGGGATAACAGGTGTTATCAGGTAATTATGAGCCAGTGTGTTTAGAAAAAGCTAAGAAGGATCTAAGAGGAAATAACTGGCACTAGGAGCAACAAACTGCAAACAGGGAAAACAGGGTTCAACTAAAGCTAGAAAGTAACATAAGGATAAATGTGAATTAAAATAATGACTACAAAGTAAGGAATGACCAAGTGAAAAACTAGAGGATAAAAAAGGAACTCTAGATAACTGAAGCCATGGAAAATAAAACCTAATCATAACAGAATAAATAACTAACAAACTATAGCAATGAGTAAATAATACCAATAATGCAAAAAAAAAAGATTAGACGGAAGATAAAAACGAATGTTTTAAGAAATAATATAAATTTTCACCACAACACAGAGCAAAATAAATAAAAGCACAACTGAGAAATGAAACCTTAAACAAGTTACAGAAGCTTTGTTCAAAAGACCTGTATTATTATTAATCATAGGCTGACATGACATGGGAAAACTTTATCATTTGAATAATCAAGTAGAAACGACTTAATCTGTTTATCCAAACACACGTTTTTTAGATAACTGCTGCCTTGACCCAGAGCTTCCGAAATCTTTCAAATAAATACTAAACAGGATTTAGCACTTATCATTTGGATTAGTAAAAATATATATATTTTTTTATCTTTGTTTTGGTTTGTTTTTCTATTCATGTATTGGGTATATGTTTCATCGCTGTTATAATGAAGTTACTAACATGTTACATTATTCATTTTAGATAAAACCAATGGAATATGGTGTAATTCTGGGAATTGTGAACAAGCATCATCACTGGATGTTAGTGGTAATTAACCCTTCCGTTTTCATTATTCCTTTACGAAAATGTCAATAAGTGCAATTTTGTTAATGTGAAGAGGACACTGATCAAAAGTGAGTGATTCCAGGAATTTTTGTTATTAAATCAAATTAATCATAGGTAATCTACCCACAAGACAAGCGGTTGGTGTTTCTGGATCCTCTAGGAGAGAGTAAACAGGACATACAGACATGTCGGGCTACTACAAGGCAAGGAAAAATCAAGAAATGTCAAAATATCTTTCCTTACAAAGACTGATTTGAAAAATGTTATTGTGAATAATGTCCAATTTTGTGGATGTCACAATTTACATTACAGAGATTTAATAGTAATGCAGGCTTATTTTTTCAATGTGTTTCTTACACTTATGTACAGTATCAACCTTTCTCTAAACGCAGTAAGGTACATTAAAAATTTAAGCTTTATGTTCTTGTACAAGGTTGATCCAAAAGTCCAGTACAATAGCACAATTACGACCCCATAAAAAAAATTGTAATGTTTATTTCAAACTGAAATGTATCATGAAAACACAAACAAATAAAACCTGGACCACTGAAAGGATGGATATTGAAATAATTCTTTTTCAAATTTGCATAACACAAACGCAAAGTCATGCATTATTAAAATTTTAAATGTGTTTACAGGGCATTTATGCGAAAAATGGGATGTAACATCTCCAGGTGGACTTGTGACACAGTGATGCATCCCAAACAGACAGATGCCACATCATGTGGACTCTTCACCTTGAAGGCAGGCATCCAAATATGCTAAATACATAGTTATGTACAAAAAGACATATCTTTGTAATTGAAAAGATTAATATATGTAACTTATAATATCTAGATTAGTTTCAAGCTGCTTCGCCTATTAGCAATGTACAATATAATGTCTGTAAAGACATTTAAAATGTCTTTTTCTAAAAAAAAAATCTAATGTCTTTTTACAGTTTGCTGAGAAAATCCTGAGAAAAGAAAAGATTTCTTTTCCGACAACTAAAAAAGAAATAAACAAGCACAGGATGAAAATTGCGACCACTCTCCTTCTCAGCACAGGTATGTATTCAATTACCTTTGGATTGTCTTACATTATTAGTATCTTGCTTTTAACTATTGGAAACATTAACATTGTATTATTTGATGTGATATTGTCAAAAAAAATTGAGATTCATTGCATATTTTGGTATGTCTTACAGATGACCTGAGCAACCTCTGTCACTTTTGTGGCGAGAAAAACACGGACATTGAAGACATCTGGGTATTTGACAATATTGCCAGGTGCTTTTAAGAATTCCCTTCTTTCTATGCTGATTTCTTTCTCTATTTTTAACAGATTCAGTGTGACGACTGCTTCCGATGGTACCACCTTCAATGTGTTGGAAACCCAGATCCCCAACAGGATTACGTGTGCTTTGCATGTCAATAGTTTTGTTAAGTTGTTTCTATTATTCTGTTTATTCTATTATTCTATCTTGTAATAAAAAAAAATATTTTTTTATTGAGAAGTTATAAGCAAAACCTTGAATTTAATTTTTTTGCAACTATTTGTTATTACCCTAAAAGATTATGTTACAGGCTCCACACTTTACAATTACTTAAGCATGCAGTGAGTAGGTGCTGACAGCTTCATTTTACTTCAGTAACTATCATTAAGACACTTTTACATCTAAAAATCTCAGCTGGTAAAGCCTGTTCCCCCTTGTAAATTAAGAAACATAGGTCAATCAACTCCAAAGTTTCAGGAGTTAGTTGTCATCATAAAATATGTTTATAAGCCAAAAATGAAAAAGCTGGGGCATTTTTTGCCTGATTTAGACAGGGGGAACAGATTACGGCAGGTTTTATTTCATCCCATATTGCTGGTTCTGGCAATATGGGATGAAATAAAATGGTCAATCACCCCCAAAGTTTCAGGGGTTAGTTGTCATCAAAAAAGATGCTTATTAGCCAAAAATGAAAAAGCTGGGGCCTTTTTTGCCTGATTTAGACAGTGGGAACAAATTACGGCAGGTAGCCTGCCATAATTTGTTCCTCCCTTGTACCTTTGAGAAATAAAGGTCAATAAACTCCAAAGTTTCAGGGGTTAGTTGTCATCATAAAAGATGCTTATAAGCCAAAAATGGAAAAACTGGGACCTTTTTTGCCTGATTTAGACAGGGGGAACAGATTACGGCAGGTGGCCTGCCGTAATTTGTTCCCCCCTTGTAACTTTAAGAAATAAAGGTCAATGAACTCCAAAGTTTCAGGGGTTAGTTGTCATCATAAAAGATGCTTATAAGCCAAAAATGAAAAAGCTGGGGCCTTTTTTGTCTGATTTAGACAGGGGGAACAGATTACGGCAGGTTTTATTTCATCCCATATTGCTGGTTCTGGCTATATGGGATGAAATAAAACGGTCAATCACCCCCAAAGTTTCAGGGGTTAGTTGTCATCATAAAAGATGCTTATAAGCCAAAAATGAAAAAGCTGGGGCCTTTTTTGCCTGATTTAGACAGGGGGAACAAATTACGGCAGGTAGCCTGCCATAATTTGTTCCTCCCTTGTACCTTTGAGAAATAAAGGTCAATAAACTCCAAAGTTTCAGGGGTTAGTTGTCATCATAAAAGATGCTTATAAGCCAAAAATGGAAAAACTGGGACCTTTTTTGCCTGATTTAGACAGGGGGAACAGATTACAGCAGGTTTTTTTTCATCCCATATTGCTGGTTCTGGCAATATGGGATTAAATAAAACGGCTGATGTTAGAAGACAAACTGTTTATTAAGGAACATAGATAAATTGTACGTTACTATAAACACAAATATAGATTTAAGTACTAAATTTCAACCAGGAAAAAATGATTTTCCTTCTGCATAGTCTTTAATGATAACACGTGCACTCCATTTTCTATTTCATTTTTATTACAAGTATATAGTTTACAACAGTTTTCAATGGGATGAGAACATTTGGACACTGTGAAACAATGAGAGATATTTTTTAATGAACGTGAGGAAAAGAACAGGGATCTGTTTGCTGTCAGAGGGAGGAGTAGACACTGCTGTCAGCGACCAGCTTTCAAGCAAACGTTTGTGTTTTATTATTAGTTTTAAATCAATATCACTGGCGATATTCTGCTATAGCATGTGAAGTAAAGAATAAAACAGTGAAGCTCAACTTTCATACACATAAAACCTTTCAAATTTGAAGTTGTGCACGTTGGAATCGAGGCGGAGTTAACACGGGTTGTTCTTTCTACTCCGTGCGCGCTCCCGACGAGGGGATACAAATTTTGGCAGGGATAACTACCTTGGCACGACACCGGTAGCCACACAGCTCCGTGTTCCTTTGTGTGCGCAACAGGTACCTTCATAGACGCGTTAGAGAGGCACTGCACAGCCCCTCTGGCACTGGATCTCCTAGGGCGCACAGAGGGGCAGTGCCATGCACACTTCTTCCGACGCGCCTCTCTTAGGTGGAGAGAACCAGTCTCTGCTTTTCAGCTTCACTGATGCCCTGATGATGGGAACCCCTTCAAACAGCACCGTCCACCCGAACGGATCCGACCCTTTTGCTAGAAACGAGGATGTTGCCCAGATCGAGATCATGGTGCTCAGCATCACCCTCGTGGTGGCTGTGATCGGGAATGTGAGCGTCCTGCTGGCCATGTACAACACCAAGAAGAAGATGTCTCGGATGCATCTTTTTATTAAGCACCTCAGCTTGGCTGATCTGGTGGTCGCCTTCTTCCAGGTGCTGCCGCAGCTCTGCTGGAAGATCACCTACCGCTTCTACGGGACGGACGCTCTCTGCAGGATAGTGAAGCACCTCCAGGTGATGGGGATGTTTGCCTCCACCTACATGATGGTCATGATGACCTTGGACCGCTACATCGCCATCTGCCACCCGCTGAAGACCCTCCAGCAGCCCACCAAGCGCTCCTACGTAATGATCATATCCACGTGGATCTGCAGCCTGGTGTTGAGCAGCCCCCAGTACTTCATCTTCTCCCTGAGCGAGATCAAAAACGGCTCCGAGGTCTACGACTGCTGGGCGCACTTCATCGAGCCGTGGGGCTCCAAGGCGTACATCACCTGGATGACCGTGGGGATCTTTCTGGTGCCAGTGGTGATCCTCATCCTGTGCTACGGGTTCATCTGCCACAGCATATGGAAAAATATCAAGTACAAGAAAAAGAAGACGGTGTCCGGGGCAGCGGGCAAGAACGGCCTGATTGGGAAGTGTTCAGTCAGCAGCATCACAACCATTTCCAGGGCCAAACTCAGGACGGTCAAAATGACTTTTGTGATAGTTTTGGCCTACATCATCTGCTGGGCGCCGTTTTTCACGGTGCAAATGTGGTCAGTGTGGGATAAAAACTTTAAGTGGGATGGTGAGTAACGCAAAAAAAAAAGTTATTGATTAATAAAAATAAGGATCGCAGTAGTACACATTGTCAAAGGAAAGAAAAAAGACGCATTCGTTTGCGCACAGATTTTACGCACAGAAACAGAGCAACAATTAAAACTGCAGAAACCAAATTAATTGTATTTTTAAAAAATTTACTCCCTGTTCTAGACCCGCAGCTTTACATTCAGTCAATATTAAATATGGGGCCCAAAAGTGTCGCTTTTTTCAATAGCAGTTTTTTCGTGATAATTCAATTTCTCTTATAATGCATAAATCGTTTCTTAAATATTGAAATAAGTCTTATTTAAATCTAATGAAATGTAATATAATAAGAGTCCAAATGTTAATTTATTTACACAATTAAATGTTTCTTTAATTGAAGGTATAATTTTATCAGTCAGCCTTATCAAACAAAGTCAATGGGGGGGAGTCATACATTCATTTCTCAAAAATCAAATATGACTTTTAAAAAGATAATTAGTGACTGTGCAAGTCTTTTGATGTAAAATACATCTTAAACAGACAGATTAAACAGCTTCTGAATTCTGAATATTATTTTTTTCTGAAGTAAGAATTGTTTTATTGTATATTTGGAAAAAAAATATATATAAAAAAAAAAAAAAAAAAAAAAATATATATATATATATATATATATATATATATATATATATATATATATATATATATATATATATATATATATATATATATATACATCATTTTGTGTAAATTATCAGATTTTTTTAAGATATTATTTTTGACAGAAAAACTTTCACTCATTGATTTTACACTGATATTTGATTTACAGTTTTGAGTTCCAGTGCAAACAGGGCCGTATTTAAGAAGTTGCTGAGCTCTGGGTTTAAGCCTGTTTTGGTGCCCTACACTTCTAAGTGTATTTTAAACACAACACTTCCTTTTTATGTGCATAAGAGCTTCAATCATTTTAGTCATTTTACTTATAAAAAATGTATTTTCTCCAAAATAGTTTTTCTGCTCATAGCTTGAAATGTTCAGTTTAGGCAAAAGTCAAATATTAAAAAATTGGCCAAGACCTTGATGACTGAGAATCTTTACAGATATCTTTGTGCTTATACTTTCAAAGAGGCATAAAACAGCATTACTTGTAGACATCCATACATTAAAGTACCAAGAATATAATTATAACTCCATCAGCCCTGAAAGAAGAGGGATGGACGTGCTTCGGTTGAGCAGCAGTTAGCGTGTAGGACCCATTTATGGAGGCCTTAATCCTCGACGTGGCCGATAGGGGTTCGAATCCGAGCTGTCATCTTTGGACACATGTCTATCCCCCTATCTGTGCTCTTCTGTCAGCCCACTGTAGAAAAACCGAGCCACAGGTGCCATAAAAAAGAAGAGCGATAGAGGTTTGGTTGCAATCTACATCATTATGGTTATTTTAACACACAATTTTTAAAACGTCCCTACCACTTAGGTTAATGCATTTACTTTAGAAACATTGTATTTGCAAGCATCTATTGAAAATGTATCAGAATAGTTTTAGGCGTGACGCCACAAGTTGGCATGTTAGAAGGTACAACCTGATAGTCGAAGTTAGTGAATTTTACGTATCTTTTCCTATGCAGGAAACTATCTCAGTGTGATAAATTTAACATAATCCCTTGACTCCTGCAAAATTTCAGAAAAATGTGTTTATAAAACAGTGAAAAATGTTATTGATGGTATTAATACAGGGGGAGAATTTGAATTTAGAGCCAAGAGTAATAAACATCCTATACAGAACCCCCCCCCCCTCCGATATAACACCAGATGAAGTTCATTACAGAGGCACTTCTGCAACCTTGAGTATGCCAGATGTTTTTTGGATTAATCATTTCTTCCTTTCTCCCTCTGTCTGTTCCACAGATTCTGAGAACACAGCAGTGACTCTGTCTGCGCTCCTTGCCAGTCTCAACAGCTGCTGCAACCCGTGGATATACATGATCTTTAGCGGCCACCTCCTCCAGGATTTCATGCACTGCTTCTCCTGCTGCCGAAAACTAAACGCTGACTACAAGAAGGAGGACTCGGACAGCAGCATCCGCAGGACGACGTTACTGACCAGGATCACCAATCGGAGCCCGACGGGCTGCTCCAGCAACTGGAGAGAGCTTGATAACTCCCCAAAAACATCAGCTCAGACAGAGTAAACAGGCAGTAGCTCCAAGAAACACATGTAGAGTGAGCTCAGCATGCAGGATTAGGACTAAAAGTTCCACAAACTTTAAAATTCTAATGACTAGGAGGCATTTGCTTAAAAAAAAGTTAAATGTAAATAGAGATATTGTCTGCAGGTTTGTGCTCAATTCCGTGTGGGGACTAAATCTTCACTTAAGCTCAAACATGAACACATCAGAAACAAATTGTGAAAAGAGGGGAATAGGTTTTCCCTTGACTTGAGACAAAAGAAAATGAAACTCCTTTATGTCACAGCTTCAAACAGCCAGTTAGCATTCTTGACACCCCTAAAAACATTCAGTTATCTCGATGCTGTCTGAGTCTCCCTGCAGAGCTGCCTAACTCACTTTCCGTTCTGAGTGTTTACAGAGATAAAAGTTACTGCACCCTGGAGGTGTGTGGGGTGAAATCAGCCCTCCCAGACGGCTCGTCTCTAAGTTACACAGGCAGCCACCTCAACCTTTGTCTTTGAATTTCCATTTTGTTTTTTCTTTTCTTTCTTTTTCTAAGAACCACATTTCAGTGGCTTGTATAAAAATGTAATTGAAATCAATCTTTTGACTGAATATAAAAGCATTAACAGAAAAAAAAGAAAAGGATTTTAACATTCACTCTTTCATAATCTGTCCAAGGAGGTGTTTCATGTTCCAGCGGGCTGTTCTTTTCTCTGTGTAGATTTTGGAAGTTCTTTCCTGATATTAACTAACACAGAAAGACGCTGAGCCAGGATGGACATTGACTATAGGTGAGCGTGAACGCTCTAGGATGAATATCCACCCTTTGCTTGCTGTTCCCATGACTTTTCACAGAAAGCTGAGCAGAAACTCACACATTCCTCACAAAACACGTCAGCCACTTCCCCAGTTTTTTTCTGACATCCTGCGCCATTGGGGGCTCTGTGTTTTGGCTTTGTTTGCACTCAAGACAAAAAAGAATTTCCTGCACTTTAATATGATTTACGGCAATATAATGGCTGTTAGGCCACAAAGCAAGAGCCCAAAAAACATGTTTGTTCTATCAAAATTGTATATACATTCCTTTATGTACGCATATGTGTGTGTTCTGTTTAAGATTTGTAATCAAAGTGAAGCCTAATGTATATTTGTACTTAAAAGGCACTTGAATATTTGTAAATAGGAGTAATATATGTAAGTATCCCTATAATTGCTTGTGCACTTCACCTATAAGAACCCAAACAATATATCGATATTTGTTAAAATACACACATCAATGTAATGAGCACAAATGACTTTGTTGCCTGTTTTCCTAGTCATAACACTGGAGATTTCACTGTTTGTTTTATGCAGTTGCTGCACAACCACAAAAAAAATCTGTCTGTTATTTGAGCTGGGAATCAATGTTTGAATTAAAACTCAAGCCAATCTGAGCAGTTAAATCATGCCAGTAACTGGGATTATGCAACGTCCCCTTTTAAAACAATGTGGATACGAAGTCAAAGGAAGACCTTTTCTCAGAACACCTCTGACAATAAAGCCCTACAAATACTCCATAATAATAAATATTTGATAGTTTTTTTGTGGTTTGTCTCAGTCATAGTGTTTCTGTTTTGTGTAGAAAATTTATTCACTATAATAGTACATTAAAGGTGATTGGGTGTTACCACAAAATCATTTTTTTTTTTTTTTTTTTTGCATTTGATTGCATTTATTCTGCACTGCAAAAAATATAAATCTCAATAAGTTATTTTTTCTTAAAATAAGTGTGTTTTTCCTTGATTTGAGGAGATAAGTAAGACACTTTGCCAATGGAACAAGACAATTTCCTTTTAAAATAAGAAAAAACTATTTTATCGTCTTATTTCAAGTAAATATTATCTAACTATCTTATTTTAAGAGTAAAAATACTCATTCCATTGGCAAATCATCTTATTGACCTGCTCAAATTAAGGCTAAATATACTTCATTTAAGCCATTTTTTACTTATTTCTGGATTTTTTTTGCAGTGTGGTTACATTCTTAGGACAATGTGCAAAAAAATATTTCAATCTGAAAAACTCACAGAGAGAGAAAGATGCAATTAGAAGAGTTTATTGATACGATAGTTTGAACTTTGGCACTCAGGCCTCGGCAGGAAACATAAACGCTGATTTATACTTTAATGCAGATAAACTGATGTATGAGAATAAGGACATTCCCCCCGGGCCTGAAACTGCTGGTGGAGTTTAGATAGATTAAGTTTGGTTATTTCCATAGAGGTTGGTATACAGGGTGATGCTTGAGTTAGATGTCACTGAATGAACAAAGTTTGCATAAACTGTCCATGAAGAGCAAGCATGAAGCGACTGTGGAGAGAAAAAAACTCCCCTTTGGGAAGAAATCTCTGGCAGAACCAGGCTCAACGTGGCGGTCTTCTGCCGGACCGTTTAAAGTGACAGGGAACTCCATGAAAGTCTGGAGGGAGTACACACTGGAGGTGAGGTTGAAGGAGCATCGAGGAGGAGTCGGATGAGCTTACTATGGTGGAGAAGGGGATGGAGGTGGGTTGTCTGAATCAAAGTCCGACATAGGAGCGATGGATCTTGCGCTTATTGAAGAGCAGGCCTAGAGATGATTTGGAGTGGCTTTAAGTAGAGTGCTGGAAGATGATTGGGCATCGAGGAAAGTGGCTTGAAGCGGGTTGGCTGCATCGGAGGCGGATCAGCCTCAGATTGAATGGAAGTAATCAGAGTTTCTTCAGTTGAATTTCCGCCTTAGCTTCATATAAACTAATAATTTAAGATATTAGTCAAATCATTACTTATAAAAATGACTCTTACATTTTTTTTAATTATAAGTTTCACAAAATGGAACAGGGGAGAGAAATAACATCTTTCAGAAAATAATATTTTCTTCATGAAATTCTAATAATTCCATTAACATTTTCTAGCATCAAAAGAAGACAGGATTCACCGTCCACATTTGACATTATGATTCATGTTCTGTCTCACCACCTTCTGTCAAAACATCCAAAACCACATTTCACACTTTATCTATTTTGGTTCTTTTCATCTATCAACATTTGACCCTATAACACACAGGGGTTTACACAGGAATATTCTCACTGGGAGGTTTTATAAATCCTTTAAATTCAGCACATTAAACCAATACCTTTCAAATACCATGTTTATTGTCTGCAATAAAATGGAGAATAAAACAAACATCAGGCGATCCTGCAGGTATCCCCCTAAGTTCACGCAGCGATCTGCTCTATTTACAGCAGCACTGATGCAGAAGTGCTCTAAAGTATGAGTGACATCTCTCAAATTTCTCATCCAGCCTCAACGCTTCAAGACGTATGATTTGGAAAACTCTTTCTATCAACATACGTTAGGATTATATAAGCAAGTACTTGAGAAGCAGCTCACACTGCAAAGCTGCCACTTGGAAAACATTTGCTTTTCATCAATCATTAAACTGTTAAGACGGCCATTAAAGTTTTGTTTTTATTCAACATATCCCTGTTTGCAGATCTTACATTTGATATACTTTTTGTTTGATAAAATAAAAATATATAAGACGTAGTCATTTCTCTGTTGCTTTACTATTCTATTTGTACTCTGAAATCTTATGTATAAAGGATATAAAAATCTTTCTTTTTCCAAAAACTCTGTTGATCCTTCCTCGTGCTTTGATAAAGAGTCAATAGAAATCTCCTGTAAAATCAAACCCCAGCAAAGCTGCAGAGGGATGCGACTGTCGGGTTCTGCATATTTGGAATTTGAAGCTAATCAGCGTGTGAAGCACGGCAACCTGTAGATTCATATTTCATCATGTTACAAAGTGTTTTATTGGTATTACATGCAATATAACAGAACATAATTGTGATGTAGAAAATTAATTGTAACAGGCCTTTCATATGTACTTAGCCCCTTTAAATCTAAGAGCCATAAATAAAATCAAATGTACTAGTGTTGTGCCGATGCCATTTTTTGGCCCCGATACCGATACCCGATACCTGGCTGTGCGGTATCGGCCGATACCGATACCATAATAATGTAAAATAATTGCCATCATGGCTTTGACAAGCTGCTGTCTACCTTTGTGAAGCAGGAAAAAATCTAATACAAAGTGAATCCAGTAGAACTTTTTATTGCCTACCAGAAGTGGGTGACAATAGTTGAATAAACTTATGACTTCAAAATGGTATCGGTGCCCTATTTGTTGGTACTCGCCGATACCGATACCACCGTTTTAGGACAGTATCGAGGCCTCGTCCGATACTGGTATCGGTATCGGTGCAACACTAAAATGTACCCAGTTCCACCAATTTCCACCATTTCCACTGTTCTCTGAAGGCCTCTGATATTTATTATAGAACGTTAAGGAACAAAGAGCAACATGCAGACCAAAAAAAAAAAGCAGACTTTTAGGAGGATACATGTAGAGAACTTTAAAGAAGGGAAAGGTTTCATAACAACAGAACTGATCAATAAATGGACTATGTCTACCTACCAAGACATAACATTAGTCAAAGAAGCAGCAAAGATAACTATGGTGAATCTATAGGAGCTCCACTGATTTAAGGTGTATGTAGGATAATGTCAGCTGTTAAAATGACTCTTCATTAAGCTGAGGGCTCATAAATTGATTCTATAGGGTATTTAGGGTATTCTATAGGTCTCTGAAAAGGGTGTGTAACATTTGTTGGGCTGAAAATACCATATTTTGCTGTTCTATGTGCGCTAATGCAAGCCTGGTTATAAGCCCTAGAATGGTTTTGTTCCTTTTATGGTATGCTCATGAATATTTAGATGATCTGTGCGTGCGCTGATTGGTTGGTTTACGAGTGAATCTGCTGAACAAAGAAGCATCATAGCAACAAGCACTCACTTACTGAAACACAGAGATTGTTGATATGGTTGGGTGACCAGACGTCCTCTTTTTTCCAGACATGTCCTACTTTTCATACCTAAAAAAATGTCCAGGGGGAATTTCAAAATCATCTTGGATTTTGGTCGACTACGGTGCAACACGTAGTCAAAATACACCGGGCACTCGAACCCAGCCGGCTGGTCAGGGGCAGAGAGCCAGCGGGGGACGGAGCGACCGAACCCGACCTGGTGATGGTTGCCTGGACACCGGCGGTCCTGTGCTTCCCCCCGCTCATGCTCCCCCCAGTGGGCTGGTCTGTATGTAAATTTCAGGGTGAGACAAAAATACAGGCCAGAACCAAATAAGGCAACATCCCAGAGTTTACGTCAACTCGGGGCTTTGTTTGGATTCGCCCGTTTTATGATGGAAGTTTAGAATTGTGAGATTTGCAGAGAAAGGAGGTGTTGATGGGGTTTGAACTCTGTACGTCCATTTCACCCACTGAACTATCGCTATTCATCTATGACAATGTAAACTCAGTTTTGCATTCTATGACCCCTTTAATGAAATATTAGCAACAGCTTTAAAATTTCTAGTTTTGTTTATTTGAGAAACTTTTTGTTTGGTAGGGTGGTGGCAGGATGATGCTTTGGGGATGTGTTTCTTAAAGCAGGGACAGGGAAACTGGTCAGACTGGTCACTTGGGGTTGATGCCAGGAAGACCCTCGTTTCCTTTCTTCAATGAGTAAACAAGCCCATCTGTGTTTTTCTCACAGGAAACAAATCTGTTTTTTCTGTTACCATCTGAACAATCAGGATCAACATCTGGCTTCCCTCCTTGATGATTTGTCCTTAAACAGAGCGGAAACTGAAGATGGCAGGTTGGCACATGTAAACTAATGAGGTGTTCAGAAATTCAGGCAAGTCTTTATAAAGTTTGGATAAATAGATTTTGCTTGTATTAACCATGAGATGCTCTTGTCTTTATTCAGCTCTGATGGCTGGTAGAGTAGATACTATGCGGCTCTCTTAGCGTCTGTATTACATAGATCCTCCGTCTTCCTGCTCCATTGTTCTTTCTCCATTGCCTTTGAATATCACATACCTTAGTTTCCTAATGTGATGTTAATTTGCCCCATGAGGTTTCTCAGCTCATAGAAACCGATCTAAAAATACTATCTTACAAAATCTGGAAGAAGATGAAACATTGTTTTGAAGCATCACATAACAGCAGCCTGTAGAAGAATGGTTACAAAAACACCATTAGCAAGCGTTATGACTGTTATGTAGAAGAAATGTATTTGCAATAAATGATTGACAAAGACTTAAGCTATTTGCAGGATTTGATTTTTCTTTTCTTAAAAATAGCCTAATTTCCTTTCCTCCAAAGCTGCCAGACCCTTTTGAGGTGGCTGGCTGTAATATTTATCCAGGTTTGCAGGTTTTTCAAAGTTGTGATTTGCACCTTACAGTTCTTTTTTCCATAAGATTTTTATTTTTTTAAATCAGGTTGTACTGACCAATGGCTCAGCCTGGAATTAAATGGTCTTAAACTCAGACTATGAGGCTTAGACATAAACAACTCAGCAGTGATTAAGTTTTAAACTGTATATTTGGGAAAGCAGCCAGTCACAGAGGCTTACAGTTTAATCCAGATATTTATATTCACTGTATACAAAGTAAACCATTTTTTGTGGAACACCTTGCTC